GAAAGGGGTCAAGGGGGTCAGAGGGCGCAGTGGGGGAAGGGGGCAGAGGGGGTCAGTGGGGTCAAAGAGGTCAAAGGGGTCAGAGGGGTGAAAGGGGTCAGGGGTCAGAGGGGGCAGCGGGGCCAGAGGGGTGAAAGGGGGCAGGGGGGGCAGCGGGGTCAGCAGGTCACAGAGGTCAGTGGGGCACTGAGTGCCCTGTGGGGTCACCCCTGGGGTCCACTTTTGGGGTCACCCGGATCCACTTTTGGGGTCTCCCTCCCCTCCACATTTGAGGTCACTTCTGGGGTTTTTACCTTCCAGGTCTCCCCAGGTCCGCTTTTGGGGCCACCCCCTCCAGCTTTGGGGCCACCCCTGGGGTCCACCTTTGGGGTCACCCTCCCCGCTACTTTTGGGGTCACCCTGGATCCACTTTTGGGGTCTCCCCGAAGCCGCCTTTGGGGCCACCCTCCCCTCCACTTTTGGGGTCACTTCTGAGGGTCTCGGGACCCACTTTTGGGCTCTCCCCCATCGGGGCCACTCCGCCCCCCCTCAGTCTTTGGGGTCCCCCCCCCGGCCCACTTTTGGGGCCCCCTGGGGTCGCTTTTTGGGGTCCCCCCCACGGTTTGCTCACCGTCCAGCAGCGCGGTGTGGGAATGGCGGGGGTCGAAGGGGCTTTGCCCCTTTCCATCGCGCTGCCCCACTGCGACCCACGGCACAGCGGAGTCGTCCAGGAGCTGTGGGGCGGGGGGGGGTCAGCGGGACCCACAGGTGTGGGGCGGGGGGGGCTTCCCTGCGATCCCATCCAGTTGTGGGGCTGCGGCTGTGGGGTGGGGGCACACAGAATCCCAACCCCACAAATGTGGGGCAAGTGGCACCCCAGCCCCACAGCCCCAGAGATATGGGGTACATTGCACCCCAGCCCCATAGATGTGGGGCACATGGCACCCAGCCCCACAGCCCCATAGATGTGGGGCACACGGCTCCCCAACCCCACACCCCACAGATGGGGTCCCATTGCTCCCCCGCCCCACATATATGGGGCACACATCCCCCAACCCCACCTGTTCACCCATCACCCCACATCCTCCGGCCCCACAGACCCCACGGGGTCCCCCCACCCCCCCTCCCCACCCCCGCAGCCCCACGGGGTCCCCGGTCACCCCACACTTTGGGGTCCCCCCGGCCCACATTCGGCCCCGGCTCACGATGTGGGTGCAGGCGGGGCTGAAGGCGTTGGTGCCGCAGGCGTACAGCTGGGAGCTGTTCAGAGCCACCAGGACGCGGATGAAGTTGAAGCACTCGGTCTGAGCGGGGACAGCCGCCATGGGGGGGCGCCCCATAGCGCCCCACAGAGCCTATAGCGCCCCATAGCGCCCCACAGAGCCTATAGTGCCCCATAGCGCCCCATAGCGCCCCACAGAGCCTATAGCGCCCCATAGCGCCCCATAGAGCCCCATAGCGCCCCATAGAGCCTATAGTGCCCCATAGAGTCTATAGCGCCCCATAGCGTCCCACAGAGCTCCACAGCGCCCCATAGCGCCCCATAGAGCCCTATAGCGCTCCATAGTGCCCCATAGCACTCCATAGTGCCCCACAGCACTCCATAGAGCCCCATAGTGCCCCATACCATCCCGTAGAACCCCATAGCGCCCCATAGAGCCCTATAGCACCCCACAGAGCCCCACAGAGCCCCACAGAGCCTATAGCGCCCCATAGCGCCCCATAGAGCCCTATAGCGCTCCATAGAGCCCCATAGCTCCCCATAGCTCCCCATAGCGCCCCATAGAGCTCCATAGTGCCCCATAGCGTCCCATAGAGCCTATAGCACTCCATAGCGCCCCATAGAGCCCTATAGCGCCCCATAGAGCCTATAGCGCTCCATAGAGCCCCATAGTGCCCCGTAGAGCCCCATAGCACTCCATAGAGCCCCATAGCTCCCCATAGCGCCCCATAGTGCTCCATAGAGCCCCACAGCGCCCTATAGCGCCCCACAGCGCCCTATAGAGCCCCATAGCTCCCCATAGAGCCCCATAGTGCCCCATACCATCCCATAGAACCCCATAGCGCCCCATAGAGCCCTATAGCACCCCACAGAGCCCCACAGTGCCCCATAGCGCCCCACAGCGCCCCATAGCGCCACATCATATCCCATAGAGCTCCATAGTGCCCCATAGCGCCCCATAGAGCCCTATAGCACCCCACAGAAACCCATAGAGCCCCATAGCGCCACATCATATCCCATAGAGCTCCATAGAGCCCCATAGCTCCCCATAGAGCCCCATGGCGCCCCATAGCACCCCATAGAATCCCATAGCGCCCCATAGTGCTCCATGGAGCCCTATAGCACCCCACAGAACCCCATAGAGCCCCATAGCGCCCCATGGAGCCCTAGAGCACCCCACAGAGCCCTGTAGAGCCCCATAGAGCCCCATAGTGCTCAATAGAGCCCCACAGCACCCCATAGAACCCCACAGTGCCCCAAATCCCATAGTGCCTCACAGCGCCCCATAGCGCCCCACAGAGCCCCACCATGCACCATAGCACCCTGTAGTGCCCCCCACACCCCACAGCACCCCACAGCACTCCACCACACCCCATAGCACCCTACAGCACCCCATAGCACCCCACAGCACCCCATAGTGCCCCCCACACCCCACAGCGCCCACTGCACTCCACAGCACCCCATAGCGCCCCACTGTGCCCCACAGCGCCCCACAACCCCACAGCACCCCACATCTCACAACCCCACAGCACCCCATAACCCCACAACCCCCCCCGCCCCACCTCGGGGTTCTTCCTCTTAAGGCTGCACTCCCTCTTCTTCTCCTCCGAGGGGCCCCACGGCACCTATGGGCGCAAAGAAGGGGTCTGGGGGGTGGGGGGGTCTGTGGGGTCAGTGGGGTCGGGGTTCAGTGGGGTCAGTGGGGTCGGTGGGGTGGGGGGATTTATGGGGTCAGGGGCTCAGTAGGGTCAGTGGGGTCGGGGGTCATTGGGGTCACTGGGGTCGGGGGTCAGTGGGGTCAGTGGGGTCAGTGGGGTTGGGGTTCAATGGGGTCAGTGGGGTCATTGGGGTCACTGGGGTCGGGGCTCAGTGAGGTCAGTGGGGTCGGTGGGGTCAGTAGGGTTGGGGTTCAGTGGGGTCGGGGGTCAGTGGGGTCACATGGGTCGGGAGGGTCGGGGGTCATTGAGGTCATTGGGGTCACTGGGGTCGGGGGTCAGTGGGGTCGGTGGGG